AGAACAAACGAAAAATAAATTAAATTACTATTAAGTAAATAAATGTGTAACGAAAAACAAAAATAAAAAAACCGCGTTCCGTACATCCTATAAAAAGCTTTATCGGGAGAGGGAAAAAATTAAAGAAAGCAATTACACCAATGTTTCTATAAAAAGAGTCATATTTGACTTTTCATGTAAATTTAAAAAAAAAATTCATTAAATATTATACGCAATTGTATATAATTTTTATTTTTTTACAATATTATTCATTCAAATTAAATATAAATAAATAAAAATATATGAATTTGATTTTTAACGAAAGTAAAGTAAGATGATAGATAATTATTCTTTAACTTTTTTATGAGAAATAGAAATATGTATTTTTGAAAAAAAAAAAAAAAAACCGGAGCAGTAACCCTTTTGTGAGTTCCCATTTCGCAACTAATTGACGAGATATTTGAAACTTACCTTGTATTGTAAACATTCGCTTTCTATAAAGATTAATTTCATTTTACCTCCCGATCAATTTCTACTCTAATGTTTATATCATATCAATTACCCACTTGACATTTCAATCATTTACCAATACAACCCTTTCATCCATTTTTTTTTTTTAACAAAACTAACGAAAAATAATCTTTTGTTGTGTAAACTTCAATTTTCCTCTTAAAAGTATAGATTTTATCAATTAACTCTCCAACAAAATTACTCACAAGATTCATGTATGTATATATATATATATATATATATATATATATATATATATATATATATATATATACCTCAAGCTGACTAAATTTCTCATTTTTTTAGGAAGTTTTGCTACCAAATTACAATCATTGAATCTTAATGCTTGCAAATAGTAGAGTTGTGTAATGAATTCAGGCAATGTTCTGATTTAGTATCATACATTTTGCAACTTGCTACGATTTTTTACCCATTCCTTTGAACATTTTGGAAAAAAGAATTTTCAAGCAAGTCATCAAAGTACTTGTTTCCTTTCTCTTCCATCCACCTATGTGATGACCTAAGAAAACCGTCGTTCATCCGTAGTATATGCAAAAAAATTCTTCGGTGACAATGATAATAAGTAATAAAAACTTAATTTCAATATATGCAAAACTTTATTTTGTACATTATTAAAAAAATAAAAATAAAAAAATTCAATTTAAACTGAAACCGAAAACCAAAAACCAAATTACTATCAATTCTAATTTAGCTTTTGATTTTGTAGATTTGGTTAATTGAATACCAAATGAAATATTACAAAACTGAATTGAATAATTGAATTAACACCCATTGTTAAAAGCCTATTTGATTTTTGTCAAAACAGCGTGGTTTCATTACAAAAGAATTTTAAAAAAAATTATACCAATAAATGTCACACCAATTCCTCGAATGAGACAAAAATTTTGCAAGATCATCCATGAAAATCTCACTTCAATCACATTTACAACTCTTTTAAGTTCATATATAATGAGTGTATGTATTTAGGAGAAATAGAGTTGCACACATGGCGAGTTTAGAAGAAAGAAGAGGATTGAACTGGAGCACCAAAGTTTCCAGTAATCGGGATGAACAAGGTTGCATGTACTATAGACCCTAATGAGCTCATGCTGCATACAGATGAATGATTCACCCCAAGTAAAAAACATAGCTTAATTTTTGGTATAAAGGAAAAGATCTCTACATCCAATTTCCAATTACTCTCCCGCAGATTATGCAAATGAGAATATACATTTAAGTATTGCTCAAATTATGGACAAAAGTTATACTAAGGAAAAAGCAGGAAGAAAATGCGGTGAAAAGAAATGGCCATAAGAAGATGTGCAATCTCTATTTTAACTAATAATTATCCACCATGTATTGGAAGGATTCTGAAAAAAAAAACATACACAAACAAAGCTCCATTTGAGAATTAGAAATAGTGAAGTAGTCCCGGAAAAAACAAGGAAAAGCACAAAAAATGAAAATGGTATTAATAAAACAACTACAACAAAACATGGTTTACTATTACAAATACTATTCACAGTCACATTTTACTATTCACACACATAGTTAACTATTCATTTCATTATTCATGACTTTTTTACACTTTAGTCTCCGATATTTTTGAACGAATATTTTGATCTATACTTTTATTTGTTCATCCATTTTGGTCCCTAGGTAGAGAGAAGGGAGGGAGGAAGAGAGAGATGGGAGGAGAGAGAGATCGTCGATCAAACTTATTTAGGCCACTTTGGTCGGGAAAAATTCACTAGGTTTTTTTTTATCTTTGAGAGATGAATTTGTCCATGATTGTTTCAAGCCATTAAATAATTAGAGGAGATAGATCGGAGCCAAAAAAAAAAAAAAAGTTCCGATTGATTGTGTATTTTTTTTTATTTTGGTGTACATTAAAATGATTTTAAGGTTTTAGATATGTTTATTGACTTTATTTTGGTCATTTAAAAGTATTTGGGGGAAAAAAATCTTGCCGGAATTCAATTTGTAGAGATCCGAAACTTGACCTTCAATTTTTCGACGAAATCAAATTCACCGAAGTTTCGCATTTTTTTTTTTTTAGTGCAACTTCGATTGCACAAGCCAACCAGTGCATGTCCTCCTTTTTTCCCCCTTCCTTCGTGTGTGTGTATATATATATATTCTTTTTTCTTTCATAAATTTTAAAATAATAAATTGTTTAATAATTAAATAAACCAAAAGTGATAATATTAAAATAAACCAAAACTCGTCATTAAATGTAATTTTAAATTAATTGGATAAGAGTTTGAAAAAAAATGACAAACTAAAGTTCTAGATTTTAAATAATAAAAAAAATAGTAAAACAAATAGGACTAAATTATAATACAATTAAGGTTCAAATTTTTTAAAAAAAATTGTATAGAAAACAAATTTTTAATACAATATATATTTTTTTAATTTTAAACTTTAATTGTATAGTGATTTGGTCCTATCTTGTTTTAGTGTTTTTTGTTGATTATTTTTATTATTTAAAATTTATTACTTTAATTTGTCATTTTAAAAAAATTCTCATACATTTAATTTAAAATTACATTAAAAAAATTAAAATATTTTTTTCACATTTGATTTCATATATTTTTATAGATTCACACCATAAAATAGAAAATCAAACTCGAAATGATTTTTCTAAATGACTTTATATATTTTATCCAATCCACATAATAGCATGAGTAAAAAATCTAGTTAATTATATTTAGAAATAGGCATTGTAAAATGTTGAGCAGATTAAATTGAAACAAAAATCATAAAGAGGCAATAATGAAGGTTTTTTTTTTTTTTTTTTTGAAAAAAAGAGAGAAAAATATCTCAGAAAAGAAAAAACAAAAAAACAATTCACTAGTGCATTGTTGTCAAAAGCATCATCCTTCCAATAAATTCACTAAGTGGGAAAAAAAAAAAAAAAAAAAGCAATTTCAAGACAACTGCTGCCTTAAGCCAAGCAAGCTACAAAATTTCTAAATTGGCTCAGAAGAAATTCTAGAAAAATGCATGCAAAGAAATCATAGACCATATCTATATTAGAGAAGGAGATTGAATGAGATGCAAAAGCAGAGTTTTTACGGGCTATAAGAAAAGGAAAAAAGGATTATGAAAAGAGAACATTAGTAAGCAATGGAAAGCAGAAACATTCTGCAAAAAACAAGATAACAAAACCACAGCCATAAACACAAACTTACAATTCCCACAACATTTTGGTCCAATCTTCAAAACATTTAACAATATACCATTCTATAAGACGCTTGACCTGGTCCTGCTAGTTTGTGAGGACCTCATGTATAGAAGATGACTCATTGTTCAAAACACATGCTGCTAGTTAAAAACACACAAATTGAATCTTAAAACAAAAGAATTTAATGAAGTGACCCCATTAATCCTGGTGCCCAAGTGGTTGGGAATGTGGAAAAATTTTACACAACAAATTTAACCAAAATCGCAATGTTGATTAACTACTCATAATCTGGCAGATAATAGAGGAATCAAAGCAGACACTGCAAGTGGAGAACATCTTTATACTCCTCGACTGTAATTCAAGGGCTTTTAATAAACATGGAAAAATAATGCGGTTTGACACTTGATTCCGTATTAGATAACCCTGAAAAAACATTTCATTAACCCTCTTAGTCAACCATCATCAAGTGTTATATTTGTATTCCTAACCTTAATTGTGAACTCTTTTCTTTATGAAACCACCATCACTTTCAAAATTAACTAACCTTTTAACCTAGAGCAGCAATTTTTCCATTTTACATTCTCTAAAAACTACATCATTACAAAATCTCCTATTCTAGGATGATTTGACAAGCATTGCTATCCTCTTATACATGTATTCCATTTGACGTTTCCAGACTTTCCCGAGTCTTGCTCTTCTTACTCTCTTCATTTTTCCTCCTCTTCTTCCTTTTCTTCTCTGAGTGACTGTCATCAGCAGATTAGTCAACATCAAAAGTCCTGGATATGTTATTTTCTTTTATTAAGAATACAAATCTAAGGTAGACTGAGAAAAAGAATGCTGCATGCAACAATAGAATTGCATCCATTCTCAAGATCCTCAACGGAAAGAACAAAGAGTAAATTGCAAATGTCCATAAATTTCTGTTAAGTTTTTTTTTTCCTCTTCTTCTTTTTGTTCATTGGGAGGCTGGATAATAGATCTCTCTATCTCTAAATCCCTCAAGTCCTAGATGTAAATAAGATTTGATCCACATCACTTAGTATAGAGCCAAGTGACTTCACTATCTATGACTTGAAAAGAATGTGCATGTGAGTCCACTTATCTTTGACTTAAAAGAAAAGAATAATAATAATAACGCGTTGTAATACCCTACAAATTACTACAAAAATTAATGTTTCCCATTAACTATGTCCTGGTTTTACCCCCTTACCTGTTAACCTGGAATTAAATTTTTATCCTAAATAACAGCCTAGCATCCACTGACAGAGGATGTCAAAAGCAATGGATAAAACCGGAATCAGAAGGTTCAACATAGAGATACTCAGTACTCACATAAAGCTCTGTTCCTTCTGATTTTGTTCCTCTTGCAGAGACACAACATGTTCCAAACTGTCAGGCTTGTACTCATCTTGCTTGCCTTCTCCTCTTTAACGGCATTATTGTGGCTACGAACGTCAGTGTCAAGAATTTTCTTATCTGCCTGTTCATTCCTATTTGACTTTGGCTTTACACCCTTTTCATACTCATCTTGCAGACATAGTTCATGGTCACAGCTGTTAGTCTTGAAATCATCTTGCTTGCTTTCATGCTCTTTAACGGCATCAAGAACTTTCTTATTTGCATGTTTCCTTTTCCTCTTTGGCTTTGTAACACTTGCGCATGCCAAAAGTACTCAGTATACAACTGCATTAAGTATTCATAAGCATAACGTGCATAAACAAAAAAGGAATGGACAATAGAAGGCTGGGAAGTTACTGAATTGACCTTAACTAGGAAACCATGTTTGCCCGAATTCCATAAAATAAATAAATAAAATAAAGAAAACCTTTTGTTTTAATTTGATGCTTTGCAATATTTGTGCATCATCATCATCATTTTATATATATAAAAAATAAAATAAAAAAAAGGTTACCTTCGCTGCTATAAACAGTGGAAGGTGAAATGATCTCTGTGCATCATTAATAAAATTACCCTCATATTCATCTTTGTCGCTGCCATTTGCAGACTTTTCTGTCTCTGTATCTGCAATATCTTCTCCATAGGATTCCCTAACAATTATATAATGAGGGAGAAACAAATAAAATGTGATATTCAATAAAATAACCAAAAACAAGGTGTAAAATAAAATTCAAGTTTATGCAATGAACTGAAGTAGACTAACAAAAGGATACGTCTCATTGTCTGGATGAAAATGTTGACCGCTGCAGCCACCAAGATAGTAACCAGTAAGATGAACACTCCGACGACCAATAACTAAGAAATTCCAAATGCAATTGGGATATCTCAGCCTTTTTAGGAAACAAAGAACAAAGAAAAACAGGACTGGAATTTCCTACATTACACTGAACCACACTGTTCTTCATTGAACTACCAGTCCCTAAAGTTTCCTGAGAAACCATAAAAAATCACATCAAATTACCAACCATAGGAAACAAAATCCACTCTCTTCTGCAAAATATGAAAATTCAACTTCAAATTTAAGCTATTTAGAAAAAACCCAGTTTAGAAAACATGAAAAGAAAAGAAAAGAAAGCATCTTTTATCGATATCTATGAAATGTGGAGCCTTCTTCCATTATTCGGCGCATGTATGAATGGCTTTCCGGATTTCACTTGAACTCCTATCAAAACCCAAAAAAATATATAAATAAATAAACGCCACCAGCATCCATCATTCAGAAAGCAAGTAATCTTAAGCTTTTTAGATAGATTAGAAGCCAAAAAAATAATTAAAAAAAGATGAAAATACTAGAACCGCCGAATAAACAAAAAGAAAACAAAAACAAGAGAAGGTAGACTCCATTGAAAAAGAAAAACTAACCCCAAAAAGCCATTGCTTAATAGTAATACAAAAATGAAGAGATTTATATATATATATATATATATGAAGCTTCAATATAATGAATAAAGAAAGCCTAGACCAGAGAAGAAGCAGAGGAGGAAAGTCGTTCTGATTTCTTAAACCCTGCGATGGGGGTGAGGAAGAGGCATTTATAAGTTGGGGCTGAGAGGTGACGTGGCGATGGCTTAATGACCATGTTAAACTACAGTTAGCACCCTCTAGTATAGTTCTCTCAACACTTACATTCCTCATTATTTGTAAATTACACTTTGCACCTTATAATATTCTCTTGTTGCAAAATTGTAAGAGTCACTGTTAGAGTGTGATGGAGTGATGATATTTTTAATTTTTCTAAATAGTAACATTGTTGATCAAAGCATTTATAATGTCAATGCTTTGAATTTTTATGAAAATTATGAAATGAACAAAATTAATCAATCGTCATTTTTTTCTAGATTATCTTTAACAATATTTTTTTCTTTAAATCCATTGATGTACATATTTTATTAAAAAAATGAATTGGTTAGGTTTTCTTATTAAATTCTAAATAAAATAAATTCTTAAGCAAGCAATCAACTAAGTTTTAAATATCTATTAGATACAAATAGAAATTATCTTTTTGTTTTTTCACAAGTTTATTAATTTTATTTTACCTCACTTTGTGAAAAAGTTAATCAACGTCAATATTTTTTATGTGATATTCTATGGAATAAAACAACCTCGATTTAAAGAAAAAATGACCCAAAAAAAATTGATAGATATTTATAGAAAGACGTGATTGAGAATCATGTGAAAAGTTTCGAATCAAATTGATGCAATTTATATTTTAGGGATTTGATTGAAAATAGATATATAGGTCTGGGACTCCCAAAAAAAATTTCAAAGACAAATTAAAAGAAGAGAAGGATCTAATTGCAGGGCACCGAAGAAAGACGATAATGGCGATAATGATATTATTTTGGGCTAAACATCTCATTCTTCTTCTTTTTCAGCCTCAGCTTTTATTAAGTTTCGTCTTCAACAACAAATGGGTATTTCTACTTTCAAGAGCAGCAGTGGTAAGAGCAACAAGGTATGATTTAAAAACATCGATCATACTTTAGCTTCCTTCAATGACATCCTTATTGGGAAGCCTCTGCCTTCTATTGTCGATTTTAATAAACTGTTATCATCTGTTGTTAGAATGGGACATGATCAGTGTGATGAAGCTAAGACAATAAGACATTATGAGACTGTCGTTTCTTTATCCAGGCGAATCGAACTTGCTGGAATCACTCATGATGTTTCTAAGAATCTTGATTAATACCTTCTTCCATCTACATTTTGTTGATTATAGGTTGTATGTTTTGGGCAAAATCCTTAAGTTTGGTTTGAAGCCTGATAGAAAAGTGGATCGAGCTCAGATATTGTATGATGATGCTGCTGCGAGGGTATCTGCCTGATGTATACACTTATAACGTGATAATCAACCGTCTTTGTAAAACTGAGGAAATCAATGAGGCTGTTGGATTTCTCAAGGAAATGGAAAACAAAGAGGATTGTGTGCCAAATGTTGTTACGTACAATTCACTGATTGATGGATATTGCTTGAAAGGGTGAATGGATGATGCTAGAAACATATTTGATTTGATGAGCAATAAGGGTGGTGTGTCGAATCTTTATAACTACAGTACCTTGATCCATGGATATTGTAAGGTCAACAGGATAGACGAGGCAATGCAACTTCTTGATGCACTGTTGATAAAAGATTTGGTTCCTATCATAGTTACTAATAATATTTTGATAAGAAGGTTGTGCCAAGTTGGGAGGCCTTGGGTTGCCCAACAGCTTTTCAAATACGTGCTTGCACGTGGAGACACTCCAAATATAGTAAAATACTCAACTTTGATTGAAGGGTTCTGCCAACTGGGGAATCTTGACGAGGCATGGGCATTATTTCAAGAGATGCGAAGGGGTGGTCTGAAGCCTGACTTGGTGATCTACACCATCCTTATTGATGGTATGTGCAAGTGCGGGGGTTAAAGATGCGAAGGAACTGTTTTCTAGACTAATTGAGGTAGGCATGGAGCCTAATGTTTACACATACACTGCATTAGTATATGGACATTGCAAGGAAAGTTTCCTGACTGAAGCACACAAGTTTTGTAGAAAAATGGAAGAGGATGTGCACCCAACGAGTGCACCTATGATGTCATTATTGAAGGATATCTCCTACACAAGGATCCATCAATGGCAAGGCAACTTGTCAAAGAAATGGTCAATCGAGGTTTCTCTGCAAATGCAGCCATCAGAACCTTGCTGAAAAAAAGATTTGCCCGCAAAGGGTCCTGCTTTTAAACAATCACTAGGCTTAAAGCTGCTGTCAGCTTTGAATATTTGATGTTTATTTCATTATTGCAACTTAAACTAGATTGTAGCTCTGTTGGAACTTTTTGTTAGATTTGACTTTGCATTGAGGGCATTTCCACCATTAGCATTCGTATCATTTTTGGTTTGTGCTATATAGAGTTTCAATTGGATCATCTTTTGTGAGCTTGTTGACACTTTCTTGAAACAAACGAAAATAAATAAATGCAAAATTTGTTCCTGGTTAAATTTTCTTTGTTTATGCAAAATTTTCCACCATTAGCATTCATCTTCTTTTAGTTGTACTTGTACGCTCTGATGCTGAGTTTATATAATGGCTATTCGATCATGATTATTCTTCAATCCAATAAAACTACAATCATTTTTGTTTTTATTATCGTGTAAATAAACTTAAGAAAAATATATAAAAGTAAGTTTACTTTTAAGAACAAAATAAACTACTTGAAATGATGAGAAACATTAAAAAGATTAGATCTTTTCTAAATCGCATGTAAACAAAACACAAATTATGAGATGTAAATCCTCTCTATAAAAGAAAATATTTAGAGAGAGAGAACAATTAAAATTAGATAACCATGCTCTAAAATCTAATCCTTTATACAAGAATAGTGTAAAAAAAAAAAAAAAAGTTTCTAGGCATTGATTTGATCAATGAGACACCTCCATCTCTTTAATTTTTTTTTTTTTAAAAAAAAAACATAGACAAGTTTGATCTTAGAGTTCTCTTCTAAATTTTAAATCTTTATCTTGATCATATTAATATTGATTGAAGTTTTATTTTATTTTATTCTATTTTTGAACTAAAGCGTGGAAGTTTTATCATAAGCTTATTTTTCGTATCACAATATTTTAAATGACATAAAAATATTACAAGTAGAATTCTATCGTGAATGCTAATAGGTGTGAAAGTTATATATATATATGGTAGAAGTTTTATTATAAATTTATTTTTAATTTAAAATTCTAAATGATATCAAAATATTACGTAATTAATATATCTTTTCTTTTTATGAAGTGGAAATTGTGTCCAACTATTAAACTAATTCAATACACTTAATGCAAAAACATAAATTAAATTAAATATAAAATACTATCCTACATCAAATGCCTGCGTGAGGTAGTCTTAGGCTGTTAGCACCTGGAAGTAGTTTAACATTAATATCCAGTTGCTTCTCTCTTACCATATTGTACAACTAGTATAGATGGTGCCTGACATAAATATAGCAATGGCTTAGTGTTTGCCATATGCGAAGAGGTTCATCAAATTAAAAAGGTTTCCACACAATTTAGATGTCTGTTTCTCTTAGAACTGAGGAATGCTGGATTCCTATGCGTAAGGTTTTTCAGTCACTTTATTTAGCTATTGATTTAGATGATGAACGGAACAACTAATTTATTCATTTGTTTCTGTTTTCTTTACCTTCTTTCTTAAATTTTGTTCCTTAAATTTTCCAAATGTCAAATATCACCAGATATCTTTACATGATTTTAAGAGAGGAAGCATCACCCGAAACCAACCATTCTAGCAAGGAAAACTGTTGAGCATGCCAAATTCTTGATTGAGTTGTAAAATAAGAATCATAGGAAAAAGGAAAACTGTTGAGCATGCCTTCCGGTTAATATTATTTTATTTCAAAAAAAATTTCTTTTCTCATCTATCTTTATCAAAAATGCACTATTTATATGGAAACTATCACTTGAATCAATGCTATTAGTGCTTCTATAAAATGAGCATTATTTATAACTTGGGTTCTAAATTCTGATGAAGTGAAATGCATTTTGAGCTTAATATGTTCCCATGCACCACACAAGAATTACAGCCATGGTGTAGCCATCCCAGGCCACTTGCTACACCAACTGCAATTTTGACCCTCAAAGGCCATTGCAGAATATTCTTCTTGTCTTCCACTGAATGTAGCCAATTAAAATGGTTTCCCAGACGAGGGATATATAGCACACTAATTATCAGCAAGAAGCATGATAGGATCATATGAAATTGCTGCCAATTCTTGACGTCAGCAGCAACACAAGTGCATCGCAAGTTCTAGCTAGGTAAACTCCAGCTTTAAACCTCTCCTTCCTGACTAAAAACATCACCATCAGATAAGTTCATAGTTTGGATTATTAAGTGTTTAAAAACAAAATCTAATATAGAAGTTCCGTTACATGCATGTACGAATTCACATCCGTGCCCATATTAAGCTGTACTATCATCGCGAAGAACTGCCAGCTTCATCCATTTTCTGACAAATTTACTCATCTGAGAAGGACAGCAGCAAACTACCTGGTCACACATTTATCCACCATCCAGTCTGAGAGACCATTCTACAATAGCTTTAAAAAACGATTCCCAAATTGATATACTCTTCCAAAGAGAAAGCACTAATGATGAACCTTTAAATTTGTAATTTTAACATGATCCACTTCTACATGATACCCGTTACTGAAGCCTAATGCTATAGCCACAGTAAAGGTAAACATATTCTAGAAAGTCTATCTTCAGAAATATAGGAATAGTTATCTAGTTGCTTCAGCTAATTAAAACAAAGGATTATGGACAATTACCTGAAGCTGCTGTGGTCACACTGCAGAAGCTCCACTAATCTGCTAGGAATTGTGCCAGTTTTTATTTGGTATGATTGCATCTTGAGTATTGACATACCACAGAAACAACAGTAACAGTTCATTTCCAGTGCTTCTCATCTAACAACGGAGTATCACTTCCATTCACAGCATCAGAACCAATGTCCCTATTTGATATAACTCCTATGAGAAAGCACTACAGATAAACCTCGAAATACTCTTCTTTTTTTCCATCATGAAAAATTGGTAATTAAGCTGCAAAAACGACTGCCGGAACCTTGCCTGCAAATTAAAATCAAAGAATGTCAAATGTCATTCAACTAGAAACAAACTTTAAAGAACACAAATGCCATTCAGATAATGCACTGACTACATCAACTAGCATTCCTAGATCCCTATTTTCTAAAAAACTATTGAAAAATATATTAATGGATACCATTATGACAAAATTTTCATGAATATCAGCAGTGATGCATCCTGCAGGGCATCCAAAATAATATACAGAAGACATGCGTCACTGAAAGCAAGCAGAGTTATCTGAAAAATGCAAAAACATCTTGTAGATTCAGCAGCAGAACCACCTTGTATATAATATGAAATAAATCAATACTGCAAGATATACATTCTTTGCAGTAAGCCTGGAATTACTGTGCCAAAAAGCAGGACTTTTGTGATGCTTACCTCGGCACCAAATCTATTTTGTTCTTGAAGCACACTAATGAAAACATCTACTGCCGATGAGACACATGGTATAGTATGAGAATAAATTTTTTTATCAGAGGTGGCTGCATCGTTTGCCTTTATTATGATTGAAAAACAAGCCTTGCACAGAGGAAAACTTTTAAGAATCTGCAGCAGCAGCAGCAGAAGAAAACTTTTCAACCATAATCATTCAAAGGGTAAAGATAAACACATCAAAGTAGACAAATGGCAAAGTTATCAAATGGCGCCTGAATTCTAGCAATCTAAAAAACAAACAGTTCGTAAACATAATTCACTATCCTTCTTGTCATTTCAGAGGGAAAATATTAATTCAGGCTTGTACTTTCAGATGACAAACCCATCTTTTCAAAAGCAACTAGTTGGTGAATTCTAGATATTACTGAGAAGCCGAGAGACAGAAGTATGCCTTTAGTCCTTTAAGGCATAGAGTTGAGTCCCTATAGGAGGTAGCATTATGCTCATGCAAAGGCCAAGAAAATTTCACATGCCTTTGTCGACGTTGTCTTCGAATTTATTCAACAGGTTATAATCATTTACAATTTGTTACGAATAATATTTGTTTTTCTTTTAAGGATAACAATGTATTTTTTTAGCCGCAATTGTATAATACAAAATAATGATAATGTAGATGACACTAGATCATTCAATATAACTATGATAAATTTATTTTTATTATTTTATTCAAATTCAAATTCAAGGACATATATAGCATCATTGGTTGATCCGGCTTATCATACATTCCTGCATAAAAAGCAATCAGTGCTGGAGCTTGTAGCGCTCGAGAGGCGGTATCCCATTGCTAGTATCTGCAATATAAGCATGAAGAAAATCTTTGTACACAAAAGTTCTATAGAGTTGAGGATAGCAGTTGTTAGTCAGTGCTTTTGCAGATTCAATGTAGCTATCAGGGGAAGGAAGGATGAAGCTGCCAACTGTTGTTCTCGCAACCTTTGGATTGGTGACAACTCTATGCTCAGCACTCTTTAGCCTCCCATTACTAATAATCTGCATTAACCATAAAAAAAATTATCTTCTTTATGATCAATTTCGTGGATTAGAATCGGCTGAAACTGTTGATCTTTGATAAACAGAACAAAAAAGAAAAGAAAAGAAAAGAGGGGGATGTACAAACCTGTAACACATGGCCAATGTTGACCACAAATGCATTAGGAAGAGGCTCAACAGCAAGCCACTGCCCATCCTTAAGGACTTGAAGCCCAGGAATATCTCCTTGGAGCAAAATGGTTAAGAGGCCTACATCGCTATGTTTAGGCAATCCCAAGGTCAAACTCGGATCTGGGCATGGTGGATAGTGATTAATGGTCATCGATTGAACTTGGCTTAGTTCGTTCTCAAAATATCCACTTTCAAGTCCCAATCCTTTACATATTAAGTCCAAAAGAAACAAACTTATCCTCCTAACCTCAATGGAATATTTCCCAATCACTTCTCTGCAATGATTAGCAAAAATTTAAAGGAAAGGGAAATAACTTGCCATCAGTAAAATACTAGTTTTGATCACAGCAGAAATGTTTAGCAGATGAGAATCATGCATACCTGTATTGAGTTGGCTTTTCAGGCCAAAATTGTACATGTTCCTGAAGAGGATGACAAGGGTGTCGCAAGTTGTCTCTCCAATAATGCACCTTTTCCTGAACATAATCGATGCTTGTGTAAAGCCTGCAACTTTGCCTGGGGTCCTCAGAGTAGAATCTATCTTTGTCATCTGCAGGCAGTTGAAAGAACTCATTGGCCACCTTCAACACATCTTGCATTAAATTCTCCGAAACCCCATGATTAATCAACTGGAAAAATCCAAATTCTTGACTAGCCTTTACCAGTTCATCAGTGATTTTCGCTCCATCACAAGCTAGATGATCTCCTCCAAGGTCAATCACTGGAATGATGTTACATAGAGGAAAAACAGTGTTGCCAGGTCTAATTTCCGGTGGTAGAATATAAGATTCTGGCACGGATTTAAGGTTGCGCCTACTTGAAATGAGCTTCTCCATTCCCTCAAATTAATGAAACATAAAGGTCAAAATGATTGCTTTAAGCTTTTTTCCTCCTTGGGAGGCGTGCTCTTTCTATAATGTGCCAAATGCCATTGGCCAATTACAACCTAATTGTTTGTTGTTGAATTAAACGAATACAAACAAGACAATCTTCCTTTAAAAAAGGGCAAGTTGTTAGAGAATCTAATACTGTTGGGTGCTACTCTGTATGGAATCTACATAATCTGATTCCTTAACATGGGCTTGGGTTTGGACTCTTAAACACTAATGCACTTCAACTATGTATTAAAAGCTCTTTCCATGAAACTCAAGGTCCATTATGTTCTCTGGATGTGAAGTGTACCGTATGCGCATAAGAATCTACCATTTCGTCCCCGACTTCCGATCATTAATTTTTTTAAGAAATAGACATGACGAGAGACTATGAATGGATCTGTATAATATGGTTTGGGTTTGCCAATCTCCATTTGTTTATCAAGAGAAAAATTCTCCCTATATCCATCCCCATGGTGTCGGGTTTTTCCGAATACCAATCGGGGCAAGTAATTTTGCCATCCCCACAATTTCCTCTTTATTTATTTATTAATCTTCATCTTTTTTTTTTTTTTTTTGCAACTCCTTATCTACTTCTTTTTGTGTTTTAAAAGTCTCTTTATTATTATTATTATTATTTGTTCTTAATATATTATATCCTTCTAGTAGTTGATTTTACGCCTCTATGTGTCCCTGCTGCCAGGAGAATAAGGAAGAGACGTACGAGCAATTTGTTTTTTACGTCAGACGTTACTAGAGAGGTTTGGACACATTTTTGGGAATATATATGATTTAAAAATGAGTTATACTTCTATGACGGATTTGCCTCAAATATAAATGTGTTCTGTCAAAACTCTCAATCAGGCATGTATCAAATGGCCGGCTATATCTTTCCTAAGTTTATGAAAAATTTAAAAAAAAAACAGATGTCAGACGAGATACGACGAATCGTCCATGAGGTCGGAGATAGTGATTGGCCGTATCATATCTAGATTGATTGAGATATGTTTGGTGTATAGACCTAAACGTTAATCTAATTCGGAAGAGGTGAACGCAATTGCTATTCTTCGGCTACTGGCAATTGCAATGCCTTTGACTAAAGGTTTATGGCTAGATGGAACTCTCCTCCACTTCGCAATCTTCAACTCATCACAGATGGGTCAGCAAGAGATGGGGTCTGTAATGGAGGTGGAATTATTCGTGCAGGTAACCATGTAATGATTGCTAGCTTCTCAAATTATTACGGTGATGGTACAAATATGCATGGATAGATATACGCTCTTAGGGATAGTCTTCGTCTTTGCCAAGCACTACAACTAATTCTACGTCAAAATATTTTATTAGCAATATATTTTGGATTAAATGGGCAATTTTTTTTCCTTGAATTTTAATCTTTGAACTTTATATTTTTTAGATTAAGTTTATTTTTTAGTTTTTATTTTTTATTTTTTACAAAAAAGAAAAGAAAAGAAAAGAAAAGAAAAGAAAAGAAAATTATATAAATTAAAGGCAAGTTTCAAAAATCCAATAATAAAGCCAATTAAATCTTAATAAATCCAACACCGAGAGGATTCAACGAAGAAGAAAAAGTTCTTAACAGACAAACACACACATATATATATAAAAGTAAAAATAAAATTACATAAGTTTAAATTAAAAATTATTATTATTATTGCGTAAAAGATTACTAACTTAACATGAAACAAGTATTAAAAAACTTTTTGAATAATTATTTTCTTGTGTATTCAATATAACTACGAAGGATTAGTCTAATTTTTTAGACTTAAGATATCCTAAAAGATTAAAAAAAAAAACTCTGCCCGTCGGTTGAGAGAGTAATCCTCAAAAATATTGTGGAAGAAGCGTTCGAAGAGGTTTAAAATGGCTGATCTTTTATTTTTATTTTTTCTCATCTCAATATATTTTGCATTAGTATACAGTTTCTTCAATACCTCATTGTTCACGTCATCAGAAGAAATAACAAATCTGTTGCTTTAATAATTAGAAGAAGAAGAAGAAGAAACAATTAAAATAACTAATTTGACCATATAGCCTTACTTAACTTAATGTTTGCACATACCAGGATTATCTTGCGCGACAAACTCTAATGAAAGTGTGTATATATATATTTCTTTTGTATTTAAAAAGTTACTTTACTATTTTTTTTTTTTTTTTGTCTTAATATAAATTCTACAAGTTACATTTTCTATCATCATCACATCCTTTCATCAATTAGCATTGGAAATTACGTTAAAAATCGACACATTTCACATTTCTATGGGATGAAATTTTATTTAATTTCTACTAGTATACATCCCACACGTTGTTACAGGATGAACTATACAATATTCTTATATATTAATTCATATAAAATTTAAAAATAATTATTTAAAAGGATCACGAAAAAAAATTCAAAAAAAACCAAAACATATATCTCATATTTTGTTGTACATTTTAACTAAACGAAAATTCTACAAAGTTGAGTAATATAATGTTGCTAATTAGATATTATTTGATATAAATATGTATTTTATTAGAAATATGTATAATAATTGATATTTAAAATAAGGATGCCGTGGTATTTTTTAAATTTTAGATGATTAATTTTTACCATATAATTTTTATTTGTAATTTGTTAATGAGATAGAGATATCAACCAAAACAAAAAGAAAAAAAACATTATCAAATCGAGAATTTGGAAAAATAAAATAAAATAAAATTATACATGATAAAAACTAAATGATCAAAATAAAGTAAAGATAATAAAAGAAGGATCACAATAAATTAAAAAAAAAATCACCAAAAGAAAAAAAATATATAAAAACAATAAGACTATAAATAGTTTTATTAAAACCAAAAAAAAAATTATTATAGGAATAAAAATCAAATATAATAAAATTTTAATATTTATTATAGGAAAAAAATCAAATATAATAAAATTTAATTGACTAAAATAATAAAAGGTTACAAACAGGGATTAAAATAAAAATAAAATTTGCTAAAAGCCAAAAGAGGGGCTTAAAAATGCACAAAGAGAAAAAAAAACCGATTTATTATAGAGACAAAAATCAAATATAATAAATTTTAATTATCAAAATAAAAAGAAGTTACAAAAAAGGGACTAAAATAAAAATAAAATAAATTTTTAATATTTATTATAGGGACAAAAATAAAATATAATAAAATTTTAATAATCAAAATAAAAAAAGTTACAAAATAGAGACTAAAATAAAAATTAAAATTTACTAAAAGTCAAAAGAGAGGCATAAAAAATGCAACAAGAGGGAAAAAACTGATTTATTATAGGAATAAAAAATCAAATATTATAAAATTTTAATAACCAAAATAAAAAAAAAGTTACAAAAAGGGACTAAAATGTAAAATTTATTAAAAATCAAAATAAGAGCCTAAAAAAATGCAACAAAAGAAAAAGAGAGAAAAAAAAAGTTGCTACAGCAACCCAAATAAACAAAAGCCATGAACTTTGAATGAACAGTGAATGAACGGGTGGACTTTTTCATTTTGTTTTAGTTTTTTTTAGAATTTTTCAAAAAAGAAATACTTTTGATCTCTCTGTATTTCTTTTTTATTTCAAATAAATGCTTAATTAAAAGTTTTTTAGTCATCATATTTTATTGTAAATATAAAATAGTGCGTTGATTAATTTGTATATATGTATTTTGGATATATAATGTATCAACTCTCTATATATACGTAAAAACTTTGACACGGATAGAGATAAAAAGTCAACTGAAATTTTAATAAGCAACCTTGTGGTAGAGCCCAAAATGGAAGAGAAGGCAAGTGATGAGGACCACAGTAACTATAGCCCCATAACCAGCAAGAACATGATAGGACCATGTGAAATTGCTGGGAATTATTGATGACAGCAGCAACACAAGTGCATGGCAAGCTCTAGCTCAAGCTCTAGCCCAAACACATGACCATTAGATAAGTTCATAATTTGGATTATTAAATATTTAAAACCAAAATCTAATATAGAAGTTCCATTGCATACAAGTTTGAAAGGAAAGGAATTGAAATATACCTAAAATCGCTTCCACATAATACAGTTTTTTCCTGTTTCAGATTCTGCACCTCCTCAATTCATTTACTGCATACAATGAACAAACGAAAAATAAATTAAATTACTATTAAGTAAATAAATGTGTAACGGAAAAAAATTAAAAAAAACTAAATTATAAAAATAAACTTTATCGGGAGAGGGGAAAAAAATTAAAGAAAACAATTACACCAATGTTTCTATAAAAAGAGTCATATTTGACTTTTCATATAAATTTTTTAAAAAAAATCATTAAATATTATACGCAATTGTATATAATTTTTATTGTTTTTACAATATTATTCATTCAAATTAAATATAAATAAATAAAAATATATGAATTTGATTTTTAACGAAAGTAAAGTAAGATGATAGATAATTATTCTTTAACTTTTTTATGAGAAATAGAAATATGTATTTTTGAAAAAAAAAAAAAAAAAACCGGAGCAGTCACCCTTTTGTGAGTTCCCATTTCGCAACTAATTGACAGATATTTCAAACTTACCACTATATAGATTGTTGGGATATGAGAAATCTTGGGCCACTCAGGGCCGTTGTCCTTCCTACAATTTTCTGAAAGAAGAGGACAACAATAAACCCATAAGATCTTTAATTTGGAGAGGCGTTGCATGGCTGTTGAACTTGGTAGATACTTTAGATTCTTGCAATGGCTGATACGAAGACCTTGAAGAGATGAAAGGTTGCCCAACCAATCTGGCAAAGCTTCCTCAAATTCCTCTCCATTGAAATTATATAGATTCAATTTCTTAAGGGCAGTGAGGTGTTGAAGTTGATCTGGTAAACTCTTCACTTTACCCCATCCCTCTATCCATAGCCTTTCAAGGGACCCACTCAAGTAGTGTTGGATTGAATTCATAGCTCCTGCAGGAATAGCCTCCAGTTCCTCTGAGAAACGACCAATAGTCAATGTCTTCAACTGGGTGAGGCAGCGGAAGCAATCCTCTGGGAAATAAGTCAAAGTCTGACAGTGGACAATTTCTAATTCAACAAGAGATGTGCAGGACCGTAGCCAACTTGGAACAGCTGTTAATCCACAATTAAAAATTCTCAATTTCTCCAGAGGACACTGCAATTCTCCAAAATCACCTGGAATTGATATCAACTCTGGGCAATCCTCAACATCCAATTCCACCAGAGCTGTGCAGTGTTGTATGCTTGGAATGGATTCCAGCTTTGAACAACTATATATTCTCAAATATCTAAGAGATTTGAAGCCATGAAATTCTCCAGATAAATAACACATTTCATCACAACTAGAGATATCCAACTTCTCAAGACAAGGAAATACTTGTTCACCTTCTCCTCCTGGTACCATCCATTCTTCAAGACCATACATATGCTGCAGAGTGAATTCTTTTAAAGCTGGAAAAAATACTGTTGCACTGCTATTGCTACCATAAAACTCATTGCCTATACATTTCACACTTTCCATTCCATATATCGCTAGAATTTTAAGGTGAGGGAGACATCCAAGTGTTGGGAGTTGTCTGCAATTGCGACAATCTTCTAATGTCAGCGTCTTTAAATTATTGAGTGACAACATAGACATCCATGATGGGAAATTTTCACCCATGTAACCCTCAATCCTCAAGCTTCTTATGTCTGGGTGAGCCTGGAGACCATACAACACATCCTCATCATTAACATTGCACCCGCTTTCTATCTCTGAATTCCAAACAAATACCAGTTTGTTCATTTTTTTATCGCGCAGTTTTGCCTTCTCAGCTTCTTCTTTGTCTCTCACATGCTCAAGCCCCTCAATCTTCAGTTCTCCTCTTAGTTCATTCAAACATCCCAACTCTTCAATTTTATGGCCTCCATCTGAACCCACAACAAAAATTGGCAATGTTTGAAGGCACGTTAAGAATCTCACCTCAGCTGGCACTTGGAAATCATAACTAAAATGAAGATGTCTCAAGCTGACTAGATTTCTCATTTTCTTCGGAAGCTTTCTTAACAAGTCACAATCACAGAATCTCAATGTTTGCAAATGGTAGAGCTTTGTGATGGATTCAGGTAATGCTCTGATTTCAGTATATGAGACATCAAGATATCTCAAATGTCTCGACTTGCAAATTGAGTCTGGTAACTCAGTGATATTAGTCCTTCGCAAGTTGAGAGTTCTCAAGCTTCTGAATTTGAAAGACTGATTTAGTACATTGACCATAGAGAAAAAAGTGTGCAATTTCCTTGCATCAATTGCTGAAAATGCTGATTCAACACTCCTACAGGAAATCAGATTTAGATGACGAGTTTGAGATGCACCATCAACAGCTGAACCAGCCTCCAGAGTTAAAGTTTCTGATTTTGAAACCAGTAATGCAAGATCATGCACAAGATCATGCATCTTGCAACTTGTGACTATCTCATACTCATTCTTTTGAACATCTTGGAAAAAGGAATTTGCAAGCAAATCATTGAAATACTTATTACCAATGTCCTCCATCCTCCCATGTGATGGCCCAAGAAAACCTTCGCTCATCCACAGTTGAATTAGCTCTTCCTTTTCAATATCAAAATCTTTAGGAAAAATGGAACAGTATGCAAAACATTTCTTCAATGATGGTGATGACAAGTAATCAAAACTTAGTTTCAATATACGCAAAGCTTTACTGCCATCCTCAGAATCCCAAATTTTATTATCTAGAATTGACTGCCACTCCTGTGTCTCCGTTTTGCGCAACGTTCCTCCTAAAACAGTGGCAATTAATGGTATCCCTCCGCATTTCCTTGCAATCTCCTTTCCAATAGCTTCCAAGCTTGAATTTATCAAAACTCCTCTGCTCCCACCCACTTTCTTCATGATAATGGACCAACATTGATCATTTGATAGCTTCCCAGGTTCATGCCAACAATCATAAGAAGACTCCATTACCCTCGCCACTTGCTTCTTGCGGGTTGTGACAACAACAGCATTCCCATTCTTGCCATTGATTTTTAACAGTTGCTCCTTCAAGGTATCCCACTTGCCAGGGTCTTCATTCCACACATCATCAAGTACTAGAAGAAATGTTTTCTTTTCAAGCTCCTTCTTAAGGTTTTCAAGAATTGCATTTAGATTGTTTAACCCACCGGTAGTTTTATCAAGAGTTTGCAGCATTTCTCTCAAAATCCTAACTTTATCAAAATCATTAGAGACACAAACCCATATTGTTGCATGGAAAAGTTTTCTACCCTTTACTTCTTCATATACCTTTTTTGCGATAGTAGTCTTTCCAAGACCTGCCATCCCCACAATAGGGACAACACAAAGAACTTGTTGATCAATCGAGCTAATCAGCAACTTCATGACTTCAGAGACATCATCTTCCCTTCCTATTACAACTTCTGAGCTGTCAAGGAAGGAGTCTGTCTCTCGATCCAAGCTGATCTCAGAAGCTCTATCTACATTTTGTAAAGATGTAATTCCAAGCCCAAAGACAGTTGCAAGTTTCTGAATTTCATCGAAGGCTTCATTGATCCTCTTAACTTTTTGACCCCTATGCAGACGGAATGCAACATGGTTGTGTTTTGAAAAGAAGTCATGTACCTGCTTTCCCTTCATTTGGTCTCGACGAAGAGTCTCATAAGCAAACTCGTCTAGAACATCTTCAGCATCATAAGCCAGATCTTGAAGCTTATCCAGCCAAAGCCTCACGGACTCGTCTGTTACTGCCCTTCTGGCTGCATCTTGGAGCACAGCTTTGATCATGGTCAACGACTCCTTGAGCTTTAGCAAGTGCCCCTTTAATCCCCAAGCAAAACTGATCCCTTCAGCAGCAATGGAACCCACCCTTATCAATGTCTCCTCCAAGGCAAACGTAAGAAGAAACTCAGCTGCCATTTTCTCTAGCTTTCTTTTGGAAATGAAAGAAGAATTATGGAGTAGGAGAGAGAGAGAGAGAGAGAGAGAGAGAGGCAGGTATGAAAGTTGTGAAAGAAAGCGCGTATTGGAAAGGAAGGACGAGCTACTTCAAGGCAGAGTTGGTCCCCATAGTCCTTTAAGGATTAGCTCTACTTTAAATTCCACATGCCTTTGTCGGCATGGGAATCCCCTTTGCATATCATCGTGACAGCAGGACCAAAGCATCTCCCATTAACAGTTCCCCACCTGTCTTTTCGTCATGACCAAAGCGTCTCCCATTAATTGCTTTTGCTTACTGAATGATTGGGATATACTGTACTTTGTTGCGTCTCCCATTAATTGCTAAATTCACTTTGTTATTTTCAACATTTGTATTTTGAAAATTACTAATACACTATCTTTAATGATGGATGTTGTTATATAATAGTTAATTATGCTTCATATTAAAAATATAAAAAATATTTAATATGCATGAAAATAAAAAATAAGATATTTAATATAAAATATATTTAACTATGATATATAATAATAAATATTTATATAAAAAAATATGTTGGTAATTAAAATAAATAAAAAAATGGAATTGACAAATTTAATAGTAGATTTAACGATACCCATATTAATTATTTATTCACATGTGTTTCTAACATTTAATTTTATTAAATTTTCAAAATCAAACATAAGAATAATAAACTCAATATATCAAAATAAATTTTTTATGCAATAGTAAAATAATTAAATTGTTGTGCAGCAGATTGAATATCATTGAAAATTTTAAAAATATGATGTGTGTGTGTGTTGCGTGATGTAAATTTTCTTCTTACAATTAAATATACAAAATAATATATTAGATTGAAGGAAAACGTATTTTTTTCATAAATAATATACTCCGGAAGTATATGAATTTTATCAATTTCTACTCTAATGTTTATATACTCTCAATTACCAACTTGACCTTTCAATCATTTACCAACAAAATCCTTTCATCCACTTTTTTTAGCAAAACTAACGGAAAATAATCTTTTGTTGTGTAAACTTCAATTTCCCTCCTAAAAGTTTAGATTTTATCAATTAACTCTCCACCAAAATTACTCATAAGATATATATATACACCTCAAGCTAACTAAATTTCTCATTTTCTTAGGAAGCTTTGTTACCAAATTACAACCATTGAATCTTAATGTTTGCAAATAGTAATTTTCTTGCATCAATTGCTGAAAATATTTATTTAACACTTCCACAAGAAATGAGATTTAGATTACGAATGTGAGATGTATCATTCCTTTAAAGTTAAAGTTTCTGATTTAGAAACTGGTAATGAAAGATCCTGCAAAGATTCTTAGGACATTTCTGTGTCTTCTATGCCCTATGGACATGGAGGGCACCCCATTAAAACATATACCTATATATGTTCATATGTGATAAGATTCTTAGGACAATAGTGAAACTTACATATCATCTGTAGTCTTCTGGTCTTCTTTAGTCACAGGCAAATCTAGGCTCAATTTGTCAGCCTCTACCTCTCTCCGCATGCATTTCTGTTAACCAAGAGCCCTACCAAAGAAAAAGTCATCTTCAAGTGGTTTATCCTCTTTGTAATGCATTTCTGTTAACCAAGAGCCCTACCAAATATGAGAAGGCAGGATAGAATGGTGATCATCTGGCTGCCTGTTTGAGTACACAAACCAAATATAAAATACAGATTAATAGGAAGCCTTACAAGCAATTAACAATTAAGTAAATTCTGCACATAAAAAAAAAAAAAAATTGACAAATGCTACAACTAGGAATTCCATCACTCTCTTACCTGTTGGACACACCTAGAACAGCACTTGCTTTCCCCTTTGATACAGTGATCTAATTGCCATTATCTTTCACCTTCTTTTCACTTGTTTCGTCTTTTCCCTTCTCATATTTTTCGTTTCTTTTTGAAACCATACTGTTTACAACAAATTCTTTCTCGTGGAGGAAGAAAATAAGCATTTTATCTTCATCTTTAGATTCACTAAATTGGAATTTTTTTCTAAGACGTTTGTGGCTGCCCTTACCATTCTTATGTTTCTTCTTATCAGATAACTCTTCAACTAATGGTAAAACCAGCAAATTCAAAATAGAAAAACATCAGAATAAAATTGCTTAAACATCAAAATCATTGGAAAATAGAGTGCATACAAAAGTAAGTTGATAAAATTGATAAAGATAAGACTGACCCTCTTGGATTCTAATATACAAAGAAAGCAGAATGTCTGGAAGAACATGAGAAACTTGTAAGTTAACAACAAGTGACTATAAACTGATACGAGTGAGTAATCTCTGCAATCAAATTCAAGAGTAGATTATAAATTGAATCGATACAATACAATAAATTGACATTACATGAACATAATCACACCAACTATCATTCCTTGAAACTGTAGCATGAACATTGCTCTGGATAGAAAAAACTATAAGGATAGGCCCTAGCCATGTAACCTCAAAAACAAAAGAACTATACCAAACATAAATTCATAATAAAAAGGCAACAGTCTCTTGAAATGGGATCTCCTGGGACAAACAAATCAATAGGAGTAGCTTTTAACCCAAAATTAGGACATGGGTTTTACACAACTCAGATTAATTTGGTACTGCCTATCCATTTTACAATGGTATTTGACACAGTTCATTATTAAGACTTGAAACAGATAGACATATCTTTTTAGGTGCATGTAAAATGACACAACAGTTTAATAAGTTTGCTTAGGAGTTTAATCTGTAGCCTTAAGGGTGCTATTGCGAGACTGGTATAAGCAGGCTTAGGTCTGAATTATTTCAAAAAACTGAAGTTCTTTGTAAACCTAAGTTACGTTGTTGTTTTTATTTTTTTTTTTCAAGTCTGGTAATGTATTGCTGTTTTTCCCCAGAAATTATGTCACAGAAACTACTGAGCAATAAATATAGCTAGAAACTTGCTAGCCTATCTGTACATGCATCCATAATTGAAGACAACTGAAACAATCATTTTATGAATCATTTAAATCATATGTAGATAGTCTGTCTGAAGTTTAAAAGTATTTATAAGATAATATACTTTGTTTACTCCAAGAAATATAGTTGTTTACTCACACTAAAACAATGAATTGAACATTCCTAGTAGCCCAATGCAACTCAATTCAAAGCAAAACCAAATAGTCCATGACTTTACACATGCCAAAAGTACTCAGCATACAACTGCATTAAGTATTCACAAGCATAACGTGCATAACAGAAAAGAAAGTGGACAATAGAAGGCTGGGAAGCTACTGAATTGACCTTAACTTGGAAATCATGTTTGCCAGAATTTCATAAAAAAAAATAATAATAATAATGAAAACCTTTTGTTATAATTTAATGCTTTGCAATATTTGCACATTATATGTCTATAAAGATAAAAGGTTACCTTCGCCGCTATAAACAGTGGAAGGTGACATGATCTCTAGATCAACATCGTCATTAATAAAACTATCCTCACATTCATCTTCGTCGCTACCATTTACAGACTTTTTTGTCTCTGTATCTGCAATATCTTCTCCATAGGATTCTCTAACAATTATAAAATGAGGGAGAAACAAATAAAATGTGATATTCAATAAAATAACAAAAAAAAGGTGTTAAATAAAATTCAAGTTTATGCAATGAACAGAAGTAGACCAACAAAAGGATAAGTCTCATCGTCTAGATGAAAATGTTGACCGCTGCAGCCACTAAGATAGTAACCAGTAAGATGAACACTCCGAGGACCAATAACTGAGAAAACAACTTTAACTGTCTCCTAGAATTCCAAATGCAATTGGGATATCTCAGCCTTTCCAGGAAACAAGGAACAAAGAAAAATAGGACTGGAATTTCCTACATTACACTGAACCACACTGTTCTTCATTGAACTACCAGTGCCTAGAGTTGCTTGAGAAATGATAAAAAATCACAACAAATTACCAACCATAGGAAACAAAATCCACTCGCTTCTGCAAAACATGAAAATTCAACTTCAAATTTAAGCTATATAGAAAAAACACAGTTTAGAAAACATGAAAAGAAAAGAAGAGAAAGCATCTTTTATAGGTACCTGTGAAATGTGGAGCCTTTTTCAATTATTCGGTGCATGAATGAATGGCTTTCCGGGTTTTGCTTCAACTCCTATCAAAACCCAAAAAAACATATATAAATAAATAAATGCCACCAGCATCCATCACTCAGAAATTAAGTAATCTTAAACTTTTTAGACAGATTAGAATCCAAAAAAATAACAAAAAAGATGAAAATACTAGAACCGCCAAATAAACAAAAAGAAAACAAAAATAAGAGAAGGTGGACTCCATTGAAAAGGAAAAACTAACCCCAGAAAGCTATTGCTTAATAGTAATATAAAAATGAGATTTTTTTTTCTTATGAAGCTTCAATATATTAAATAAAGAAAGCCTAGACCAAAGTAGATGAAGATGATGAATTTATAAAGAGAAGAAGTAGAAGAGGAAAGCCATTCGGATTTCTTAAACCCTGCGACGCCCATGAGGAAGAGGCACTTATAAGTTGGTGCTGAGAGGTGACGTAGCGATGGCTTGATGACCATGGTAGACTACATTTAGCACCCTCTAGTATAGTGCTCTTAATACTTACATCCCTCATTATTTATAAATTACAATTTACACCTTATAATATGCTCTTGTTGCAAAATTTTAAGGGTCTTTGTCAGAGTGCGATGGAGTTTCGAAATTTTTAATTTTTCTAGATAGTAACATTGTTGATGCAAAGCATATACAATGTCAATGCTTTGAATTTTTATGAAAATTAGGAAACTGAACAAAATTAATCGATCGTCATTTTTATTTTATATTATCTTTAAGAATATTTTTTTCCTTTCAATCCATTGACGTAAATATTTTATTAAAAAAATAGATTGACTAGGTGTTCTTGTTAAATTCTAAATAAAATAAATTCTTAAACATGTAGTCAACTAAGTTTAAAATATCTATTAGTTACGATAGAAATAAAAATTATTTTTCTGTTTTTTCACAAATTTACTAAATTATTTTTCTGTTTTTTCACTATTTTGACTCATTTTGTGAAAAAGTTAATCAAGGTAAATATTTTTTATGTGATATTCTATGCACTAAAACAACCTCCCATTTAAAGAAAAAATGACCAAAAAAAAAAGATGAATATTTATAGAAAGACGTGATTGAGAATCATGTGAAACGTTTCAAATCAAATTGATAAAATTTATAGATTAGGTATTTGATTGAAAATAGATATATAGGTTTCGGACTCCCAAAAAACAATTCGAAGACAAATTAAAAGAAGAGAAACGTGTTTTCTTTCTCACACGTGTTGGTGGGTAGTTGCCCCTTTGCCTTGAAATGCCTTTTTTCCCCTTTTCCTTTTTCATTTAGAAAGAACAAAAAACGAAATGAAAGAAGGATCTAATTGCAGGGCACTGAGGAAAGACGATAATGGCGATAATGATATTATTTTGGGCTAAAACATCTCGTTCTTCTTCTTCTTCAGCCTCAGCTTTTATTACGTTTCGTCTTCAACAACAAATGGGTATTTCTACTTTCAAGAGCAGCAGTGGTAAGAGCAACAAGGTATGATTTAAAAACATCGATCATACTTTAGCTTCCTTCGATGACATCCTTATTGGGAAGCCTCTGCCTTCTATTGTCGATTTTAATAAACTGTTATCATCAGTTGTTAGAATGGGACATGATCAGTGTGATGAAGCTAAGCCAATAAGACATTATGAGACTGTCGTTTCTTGCTGGAATCACTCATTATGTTTCTAAACATCTTGATTAATACCTTCTTCCATTTACATTTTGTGGATCATTGGTTGTCTGTTTTGGGCAAAATCCTTAAGTTTGGTTTGAAGCCTGATAGAAAAGTGGATCGAGCTCAGATGTTGTATGATGATGCTGCTGCGAGGGTATCTGCCTGATGTATACACTTATAACGTGATAATCAACAGTCTTTGAAAAACTGGGGAGATCGATAAGGCTGTTGAATTTCTCAAGGAAATGGAAAACAAAGAGGATTGTGTGCAAATGTTGTTACGTACAATTCACTGATTGATGGATATTGCTTGAAAGGGTGAATGGATGATGCTAGAAACATATTTGATTTGACAGGGCAGCAAGGGTGGTGTGCCGAATGTTTATAACTACAGTACCTTGATCCATGGATATTGTAAGATCAACAGGATAGACGAGGGAATGCAACTTCTTGATGAACTGTTGATAGAAGATTTGGTTCCTAGCATAGTTACTTATACTATTTTGATAAGAAGGTCGTGCCAAGTTAGGAGGCCTTGGGTTGCCCAACAGCTTTTCAAATACGTGCTTGCATGTGGAGACACTCCAAATATAGCAACATACTCAACTTTGATTGAAGGGTTCTGCCAACTGGGGAATCTTGACGAGGCATGGGCATTATTTCAAGGGATGCAAAGGGATGGTTTGAAGCCTGACTTGGTGGTATGTGCAAGTGCGGGGGGCTTAAAGATGCAAAGGAACTGTTTTCTAGACTAATTGAGGTAGGCATGGAGCCTAATGTTTACACATACACTGCATTAGTATATGGACATTGCAAGGAAAGTTTGCTGACTGAAGCACACAAGCTTTGTAGAAAAATGGAAGAGGATGGATGTGCACCCAACGAGTGCACCTATAATGTCATTATCCAAGGATTTCTCCATCACAAGGATCCATCAACAGCAGGGCAACTTGTCAAAGAAATGGTCAGTTGAGGATTTCTCTGCAAATGCAGCCATCAGAACCTTGCAGAAAAAAAGATGTGCCCGCAAAGAGTCTTGATTTTAAACAATCACTAGGCTTACAGCTGATGTAAGCTTTGAATATTTGATGTTTATTTCATTATTGCAACTTAAACTAGACTGTAACTCTGTTAGAACTTCTTGTTAGATTTGACTTTACATTGAGGGCATTTCCACCATTAGCACTCGTATCATTTTTGGTTTGTGCTATATAGAGTTTCAATTGGATCATCTTTTGTGAGTTTGTTGACACTTTTTCTTGAAACAAACGGAAATTCCTGCTAAATTTATGTAAACCAAAGAAACTGAATGGCTGTGTGAGTGAAAATAAATAAATGCGAAATTTGTTCCTGGTTAAATTTTCTTTGTTTATGATGTCTGATCAAATATGATATGTTGAGGATTTATTACGTACTGTAATTTGTAGCATAGTTTTCCTAATCTCTTACAAATACCAAGTATTATATCCCTACGTCATTCCGTTGACTTTATGATATAATAAGTGATGTCTTTTTCAGCAGTCCAAAACTATATATTTCTTGTTTTGTTGGTTGTACAGCTGTCTTAACTGCTTAATTGACTTGGTTCTTGAACTTTGGAGGAAAGAACAGCGACATCCTTCTAGTTGTAATCTGATGGCATATAATTCATTTTCTGATTTTTGGCCTAGAGTTGGAGTAATTAAACAAGTTTCACTTTCAAATGCCTACGTGAGGTAGTCTTAGGCTGTTAGCACCTGGAAGTAGTTTAACATTAATACCCAACTAGTTGCAATGGCTTAGTGTTTGCAATATGTGAAAAATTTCATCAAATTAAAAAGGTTTCCATACAATTTAGATGTCTGTTTCTCTTAGAACCGAAGAATGCTGGATTCCTATGCGTAAGGTTTTTCAGTCACTTTATTTAGCTATTGACTTGGATGATGAACGGAACAACTAATTTATTCATTTGTTTCTGTTTTCTTTACCTTCTTTCTCAAATTTTGTTCCTTAAATTTTCCAAATATCAGATATCACCAGATATCTTTACATGATTTAAGAGAGGAAGCATCACCCGAAACCAACCATTCTAGCAAGGAAAACCATCAATCTTTGGAGTTGATGCCAAATCCTTGATTGAGTTGTAAAATAAGAATCATAGGAAAAAGGAAAACTGTTGAGCATGCCTTCCAGTTAACATTATTTTATTTCAAAAAATATTTTCTTTTCTCATCTATCTTTATCAAAAATGCACTATTTATATGGAAACTATCACTTGAATCAATGCTATTAGTGCTTCTATAAAATGAGCATTATTGATAACTTGGGTTCTAAATTCTGATTAAGTGAAATGCATTTTGAGCTTTATATGTTCCCATGCACCACACAAGAATTACAGCCATGGTGTAGCCATCCCAGGCCACTTGCTACACCAACTGTAATTTTGACCCTCAAAGGCCATTGCAGAATATTCTTTCTTGTCTTCCACTGAATGTAGCCAATTAAAATGGTTTCCCAGACGAGGGATATAAAGCACACTAATTATCAGCAAGAAGCATGATAGGATCATATGAAATTGCTGCCAATTCTTGATATCAGCAGCAACACAAGTGCATCGCAAGTTCTAGCTAGGTAAACTCCAGCTTTAAACCTCTCCTTCCTGCCTAAAAACATCACCATCAGATAAGTTCATAATTTGGATTATTAAGTGTTTAAAAACAAAATCTAATATAGAAGTTCCGTTACATACATGCACGAATTCACATCCGTGCCCATATTAAGCTGTACTATCATCGCGAAGAACTGCCAGCTTCATCCATTTTCTGACAAATTTACTCATCTGAGAAGGACAGCAGCAAACTACCTGGTCACACATTTATCCACCATCCAGCCTGAGAGACTATTCTACAATAGCTTTAAATAACCATTCCCAAATTGAAAGCACTAACGATGAACCTTTAAATTTGTAATTTTAACATGATCCACTTCTACATGATACCAGTTTTTATTTGGTATGATTGCATCTTGAGTATTGACATACCACAGAAACAACAGTAACAGTTCATTTCCAGTGCTTCTCATCTAACAACAGAGTATCACTTCCATTCACAGCATCAGAACCAATGTCCCTATTTGATATAACTCCTATGAGAAAGCACTACAGATAAACCTCCAAATACTCTTCTTTTTTTCCATCATGAAAAATTGATAATTAAGCTTCAACAAGGACTGCCAGAACCTTGCCTGCAAATTAAAATTAAAGAATGTCAAATGTCATTCAACTAGAAACAAACTTTAAAGAACACAAATGCCATTCAGATAATGCACTGGCTACATCAACTAGCATTCCTAGATCCCTATTTTCTAAAAAACTATTGAAAAATATATTGATGGATACCATTATGACAAAATTTTCATAAATATCAGCAGTGATCCATCCTGCAGGGCATCCAAAATAATATACAGAAGGCACGCGTCACTGAATGCAAGCAAGAGTTATCAGGAGAATGCAAAAACATCTACCAGCACCAATTAAACAGAAAAACACAATTTTAAATTTTGGAGATTCAACAGTAGAACCACCTTGTATATAATATGAAATAAATTAATACTGCAAGATATACATTCTGTGCAGTAAGCGCAGTAAGCCTAGAATTGCTGTGCCTAAATGCAGGACTTTTGTGATGCTTCAGTCTTAAAAATGACAACTGATTGGAGTATTGAGGATATGTATGTCATCCTGATTAAGTACAACAGCACGGTAATTATCCTGATTGAAACATACCAACACTTACCTCAGCACCAAATCTATTTTGTTCTTGAAGCATACTTATGAAAACATCTACCGCCGATGAGGCACATGGTATAGTCTGTGAATCAATTTTTTGATCAGAGGTGGATGCATCGTCCGCCTTTGTTGTGATTGAAAAACCAGCCTTCCACAGAGGACAGGTTGAAATTCTTTTCCTGAAAGCCTACATGAATCAGCAGCAGTAGCAGAAGAAAACTTTTCAACCGTAATCATCCAAAGGGTAAAGATAAACACATCAAAGTAGACAAATGGCAAAGTTATCAAATGGCACCTGAATTCTAACAATCTAAAAAACAAACAGTTCGTAAACATAATTCACTATCCTTCTTGTCATTTCAGAGGGAAAATATTAATTCAGGCCTGTACTCTCAGATGACAAACGCATCTTTTCAAAAGCGACTAGCAAGAAGAATGTTTGAAAATTAAATTTAGCAAGAAAACTGATAAGGTACAACCTACAAACATGACAGGACTGCCAAGTGTTTGGTCCATTATATGTGTCACAACTCACTGAATCAAATGTCTTCTATAGGACATTTAAACAAGTTTATTAATGGAAACAGAATGAAGTAAATTGGACCGGAAGAAGATGCATACCATGTGATCAGCCCATTCTTGGATTCATGAATAACAAAATCGATGACCACATGGCAACACAGCTCTGGTTGAACTAAATTCTGTCCCATACAACACATGACAACTCTGCTGGAGTAGGTAATCTAGCAAGAGACTCAAACTGATCCACATCGTTAACTTTTGCATTTAAATTCTCAGCAATAGAGCCAGAGTACATGAATTTGAATCCTTGGAAACAAGTAGACGATTCC